AAATTAGAAATTAATCGCTTCTTTCTCTCTCTGTTGAAACATATTTTCTATAATTTTAATCGTTTATTAGATAAAAATGAATAAAAATGAATGATTTAAATGAAACAATTATTTGATAATAACTATTACATCAAAATATTTTATATATTTAAAATATATATATATATATATATATATATATATATTTTATCGATACTGATTCAATAATATTATGTTGACAATATTTTCCTAACTTCGTTTTCTATTGAGGACAAATATTTCCTGTCTTTTGGCAGAAGATTTACCTTTCATCTATCTGTTCAAGCCGCATTATAATGGCTCGAACTCATGCATAGGATTATGGTTTACCTTCGAAGCAGAACAAAACCACCGGTCGGCTGCTGAACACGAGGAAACGACATCTCGTGTGTCTGTCGTCGACATTCCCAGTCGTGGAAACTCCTACGAGCTATCACGATTTCCTCCGCAGAAGCGGCTGACTAATTTGCGTCTGTACTACTTCGCTATCGATTCCTCGTGCGAATTTCGGTCTCATTCGACTTTATCGGAGCACGAATTTACGTTCCACAAAATCGCGACAATAGTATTTAAATGTCTATTATTCGAGCAATAATTAGTTTCATTAAATATAATGAATTAGAGAAAAATAAGAAAATTTGAGAATTGCACTTTTTAACAGCATTTATAAAAATTTATAATTATAATATACATATATATAAAACTCTTTTATATACGTTTTTTTGTTATTATTTAATATTATTTAATATTATTATTTAACTGTAAAAACTCTAAACTTAATTTTTATAAAAGTTTTGATAAAGATCTGTTATAAAGCATATACCCATTTTATCCTGATGTGGTTTTATTTAACTTCTTCATTTACACACACACATACATGAATACACACACACACACACACACACATTTTATATATCAAAAATTAATGTTTCGTAAGATATCTTTTTTATCTTATAAAAAATTCCGGAAACTTTGAAGATTGAAGGAAACTTCAGGAAGAACCATTTTTATACGTTGAAAAACGAATTGTCTCAGGACGTGGACTTTCTTCGAAACAGTTTTCTCAATTGATGGAGCGGAAACGGATACGCTACTTATCGATCGGATATGAAAGGCAGGAGGAACGGATCCGGGGAAATCGATATATGAGGTTCATGAATCTTTCTATTCTATTGTTTCTTATATTTTAGCCGGTTATACGCATTCATATTGCGGTGCAATTTATTTACGCCATTGGCGCAAACGCGCGGGTCACTGGGTCGCGAAATTCGCAGCTGCCACATGAATTTAGTAGTAGCAAAGCGATCAAGTGTATAACAATAGAATAACGATGTAGATAAGTATAGACAATACGCGAAGAAAGGAACAATATAAAATATTAGCAAATTAATAAATAGAAATTAGGCTCTGTAATGTATTAAACAACAACCCGAGAAAAGAGCGATTAAGAGCCACCACGGATGGTAGTGCGTAAAAATTTTTAAAGATTAGTAATTCGTGAAAATTAAAACGCGTGAAAGACTTATGCATATATTTTACTTGGTGCATTAACCAAGATATAGATTCTCAATACCGAGAATACTATAAGACCCCTCTTTACCTGAAGAGACGTGGACGAAAAAAATATCGGGGCGAAGTCGCTGAATCGGGAATCGAACCCGAATCTTTCGCTTAATCGCTCTTTTCTCGGGTTGTTGTTTAATACATTACAGAACCTAATTTCTATTTATTAATTTGTTAAATTTACGCGGAGCTAATTTTAGATGTGAATATAAAAATAAATTTGTTATTTACTTGTTAAAATAAAAAAGATAATCTTAAAAATACATTTATTTTTTATGTATATTGAAAAACATATGCATATGAGATAGAATTTTTTATATCAACAGGATCACGAAGTCAGTCAATTGTTTTCAACAGTTATAAAATTCATGTTTCCGATAAAATAAAATTCTTGAAAAAAAGAAGTCTCGAGAATTCTCGTTTCCAATCTAATTTATGTATTACGTCACTCTTGGAACGTTTGAGGATTCAAAGTAGTTTTTTATATCCGATAACTCCATTGTATTTGATATAAAACTTGCTTTATATTTTGTTACTTTTATAAGATTGACATTGGAAAGATTGGAAAAACAATTTATTTATGCATATTATTTATTTTATATATTTTACGTCTTACAAAACTATAGATCTTATCATTTCCAATCAATTTTATTGCCTCCAATCTCTTATATTTGATTTATTTTATAATATATTATTTTTGATAATATATTATAATGTATTATTTTGAAATTATAATAATAATAAATTATTATAATATTCTATAATTTCGAATTATTTAAAAAAACTGATCTTAAACATGTAAAGCATTTATTAATATTAGTATATAAAGAATCAAACAGTTTAAAGTATATTATTTGTTTTTCTTTAAAAATTCTACAGGTCTCTGTAAAGAGAAATAATAATAAAGCATTTTAGATTTTAAGATATAATAATAAAATAATTCATCAAAAAGAAAGAAAAGAAGCCAAACAAAATCACGCGATGCGGAATGAAACGTAACTCACGTTTTGGTTCTTATGTGGACCCTTTGCACCCTTTGATGCGTCTTCCTCGGTTTCGTCTCTTCAGTTCCAGCTTTACCATCTGCTCGCTTTTGCTTCCTTTGACCTCTAATTCGACGAGCAAGATTCACCGTAGCGTGTGTGCTATTAACCCAAATAATTTTAAGCTCGAGAGTCTCCACATCGAATTTCCTTTTACCTATGTACTATGTGCTCTCCCGTCCGTATTTTTTTTAGTCCCATCGAAAGAGTGACCAATGCCACGTTGACTCGAAAAAAAATGGGGTTAAATGTAAGTTTAACATGCTTAGAGAAAACATTTTTAAAAAAAGATAATAAGTAAATGAATTACGTAATTATTAACCATTGCATAATTATTAAAAATTGCTCCTATAATTATTAACAATATTACATCGTTACAATATTATTATCGTTGTTAGTTTTTTAATTCATTTTAATTGCCTTACATCCATTGTGCTTCGTATATACAAGGAACTTGTGTGTCAAGGTACTTTTTACCTGGTATATATTTATTTTGCGCTATCACAAAACGATCGAATGTAATTTCTAATTATCAACGCGACAATCTTAATTACTCGACGTGTCATCGATTGTATCGCATTGTATCGAGCTGTTACTTGGCGGCGAATTGTTGGTGCACAGGAAAAGTTCGTTAAGTGTTCCTGTGTAAGTTCAAAAGTCAATTGGTCGAGACTCTCGCGTAAAGTTTCTCCGTTACCCTCGACGGAAGAAGGGAGGAAAGAGTTGAGTACGGTTTCGGTTCTCGATCAGGGTTCTCGCGCCAGATATGGCGCACGGTGTAACCGCGATTGACTTTCTGAAGCTAACGGAAGTTTTACCGCAGAGGGGAAGGGAACTTCTATTTACAACTATGATGGTCAAAGTTTTCCGTTGTAATCCATAGTAATCCGTAGAGCGCGTGTGTGAATTGGATCTATAAAATAACAAGAGAATAAACAATGACACACTGAAGCTTTTCTTATTTTTAAAAAATTCTCTTCTAATGATGATCTTCCCACAATGAGCCGTTTAATTGGAAATGCTCCTGGCTATTTATTAGTATTACTTGAACAATCTGCCGTTTGCATATGCTAATAAAAAATGCTTTTCATGTTTTTTCCCAAAAGTTTATATAGCATTTTCAATATCAAACTTTCTCGGGAATATTCGAAATATCGCTTTCCAATTCTAATCTAAACACGATACGTGCTCTATAGATTCGTGAATTTCAATCTGTTCGTATATTCTGGAAATATATCAGTAATGATTAAAACGAAACATTGCTTAAAGTTTAAATATTGTATAACAATATATTTATGTATAAATAATACATTAGAAAACTTGACATATATAAGATTAAAGTAGTAAAATAAATAAAGTATTAAGAATTATGTATTATTACATCGTGCACTTTTATACCACTATTTCATTATTTCTACGTAAAATTAATTTTACTTTGGTATTATATTAACTTTAACGTATTCTGGAGTTTCTATAAATTTAATCGAAAATTGTATAAGTTTATTATCTTTTAAATTATTATAAAAATTGTGAATCTTTTATACAATTTATATACACACATATAATTATATGAATATATAATAATTCTATATTATATCACGTGACATAAATAAAACTTTGCGAGCTTATAAAAGATTATTCCTGTATCCGCTGTATTATAGTATACATATACACTGAAGATAGCAATCGCTAATTATGCGCATATTGAAATTCCGATATGTATCGTGTCGATAATGTCTTGCAATTACCGCGGATTATTGGAACACAGACGTGAGCAAAAATATTACGAAATATTGAAGGTACGGCAGGTCGGTGAATATCGGAGTTTGCGTATTTTAATATTTATTACGGCTATTGGGAGGCCACACACAGATGTAGGGCAATGTATTTGGCAAAATGCCGATATATACACATATATATTTGATGGCCAGTCATTAATCCTCCGCGAGAGATTTACGCGACCGATGGCGAGGCGGGAATTCATCGCGATTAATTAATAATATTTATAAAGCAATGGGTCACGCAGCAATTACAATGCACCACAATGGCCCGTTAACGTGATTTTAAATCCTGCATTTAAACGTGCAGCGCAAGCTTCTCATTTATAAAGTTGACGCCTTAATGCATTTTTCTTTTTATTATCACATTATTATTTTGTTATTTACTTTCATATATTTCTCATTAATTTTTTATATCCTTAGTGCAAGAGTCGCATTCTTTTATAATTAATGATCCACATAGTATATGTATTCATGAAATATAATGCTTTAAGGTATTTTCTAATAAATTTTTCTTTTTAATCTAAAGCTGGCGGTATAAATCTTTCGGCAACTACATTAGAGAGATAATAACCATGTTTTATCATTACTGTTTCAGGGATGCTTGCCATGAGTCCTGGACGCAATTGCGACTATCGCCAATGTTCGGCTGCATATGCCCGAATAATCATATGAAGCGGCGATGCGACAAGATCTTCTTGATGGTGAACCATAATCCTTGCGTTGGTGAGTCCAACTATAATACGCGATTCGTAAAGTTCTCTGTTATTCTCTCTATCCACGTGTGTTCGTATATACTTTCATCGTACACGTAATTGCGTGTGTCGCGCGCAAAATTTGCGCCGGTTTCCCGTCAACGAGCAATAATTGCTGCTTGATTGTAAAAAAATAAGGATTTAATGTGTTCTATTACAAAGAGTATCAAATTGTAAATTAGTAATCGTACAAAAGCTGTGACACTGCAAAAGCAAACTCATTATCAAGTTTAGTTATTAGTAGAAATATGTTCGCGGATTTGAATGCCGAATAAATAGTTGAGCGTTTGTTAATCAAATTTTATCAAGGTGCATAAACGCGCATGTGTGTCGCGTGACGCGTAAATACGTGTACGGGATTTCGTTTGATAACGAATTTTATCGTAAATTGAGATTCGAACAGACTGTTGTGACATGAATGAACGAGTACAATTATATCAGCACTTGTGAAAGGCAATTGTCGGTGTTGTGAAATAATTTTCAATATTCATAAGAAGTTTTTTCTCTATCGTATATGCGTTGAGTCTATGGGGTTTTACCCTTGCGTGTCTGTCTGTGTATCTTGTACAGAATTCTCATTTTTATTTTTTTGTTGATGTATACACTGGAGCGTCCATGTCGATCCTGGAACACAGCGATAAATCTCACAATCAGTGGTCTCTTTAGTGTAGATTCTAATTGATAAAAATTAACTACATTTTACAATCGATTTAAATTTCCCAGTATTTCAAAGTATTTATTTAATATATAATATTATAAAATATATATTTCACGTGTATTATTTCATATATATTATTTCATTTTTAACATTTCTTTGCGAGAAGACGCATTTTTATGTGTAACATAAAAATGCGTCTTCTCGCAAAGAAATGTTAAAAAATATAATATAAATTTAAATTACCTTTAAAATTATTTCTTATTCGCAACATTAAATAAAATTTTGCTTATATTTTACGGTAATGTGAAGATGATTGCATTAATCTACAATACTTTCAAGTTTTTGCAACAAAATATGAAGTTTGTTATCAACAAAGTACATAGACGAGAAGGCTCATTGTTGCATCGCTCTCGCGTTTAGAACGCTGAGAACTGACATGTACTAAACTAAAGCCACTTCCTGTTACTGCCTCATTTTTTCCCGGGCGTCAAAGTTGCGGGTAAGGTAGGATGCTGCTCGACGGGGCAATTACTTTTAAGCGGCACTGCGGTGTTCAAGGCTCGTCGGAGAACGTTATCCTCACCCTCGGATAAAGCTACTTTCTTTGTAATTAACTAAAGAGAGGGGAGTTGCAGGCATTAAAATGAAGATAACAATAAGCCCTCTAATTTCGAGGAAGATAATAAGTGATACTTTAAATATATGGATTGTGTAATGCAACAGTTAGGAAACAAGATTTTTTTTAAATATAAATATAAATTTCAATTTCATTGAAGAGGGGTTTCATTTTATTTAGAAATGTTCCAATTATAACTTCAGCTACGTTATATTACTATCAAGATTAAAATATTATATCTTAGCAATTATAATATTTTTCACAATCCTTTTTTATATCTTATATTACTATTTTAATACATTTTTCGGCACACAATTTTTTTCTATAATTTTTAAAACTATTTCTTATATATTAATAATATATTACTATTAATTATTTCCATAGAGATAGTAATAAATTTAGGAAACTTAATATTTTGATGTGATAAACTTGATAATATCATTTATGAAATATTAACAAAAGCCAATAGGTATGCATTTACATTTATTTATTCATATTTGCCACATTTTTGTTATAATTAGCATTATATTTAATTATTGAGATATCGACTATACGTCCAGGATCGACGACGCTTCCGCTCGTGCCTCACAATCGTAATTTAAGGCAACATTTAAGATTCAAGCGTGCAGTGCGCGCACACAAAACGTAAGTATCTTTACACGCATCACACGCATGTGTGACAAATGTGTCTCTTGCGTTGCGTTTGACGAATGAAGCGCGCCAACGATGCATATGCGAGCGATGAATGCGGCATACACACTCTACGATATAGCATTAACATTTGTGGAATGCGTGACTGGTCGAGAGCAGTTTTGCAGCACGGAAACATAAGCGAACAATTAGTTATTACGGTAACAATGTTATAACGTAATTAACCTCGACGTTACACGAACATAATGTACTACAAACATTTCGGTTTAGCTCTCGGCGGGGCAAACTGCCTTACTTCGCGAAGAAGAAATCCTGCGTCTCTCTTTCGACCGCAATTTCCAATTAATTTTAAATGTTATACATTACTGTCGATGACAGTTCAGCCATAACAGGTGCAAACTAATATAATTTTATAATTAGCGACACAACTCTCGTAGCGAACTCAAATGGCAAATGCGTCTTACAATCTGGAAACATTATTCTTTCGGTCTGTGAACCAATGAGTTTTAAACAGTTATTACGAGCAAAAATATTGCGCTGAAATGAATAATGTACTAAAAGTCTTGCAAATCGATAGATAGAATTTTAATTTTAAATTGGAACTATTGGCTATTTGTGTCTCTTGTATAAAGTTTAACTTTTTTCACCATCGAAGATTTGATCGTTTTGCTCACAAATAATTACTATAATGGTACAATTATTATTAATCGCTCTTTCTCTCAAAATATATATAAATATTCAGATAATATAATTATATTTTTCGATAGCTAATTGAGCAATACATATTGTATTTTTTATTTACGTTTTTTATCTAAGAACTTTTCATAAAGGGAATAAAATATATTTGCTAATTATGAATACTTGTGGACAAAAGGTTTTTCTAAATTTTATTTGAAGAATTCTTTATATTCTCTTTAAAAGCGAATCGGTTTTTTGTTGCTGTCTTTTCTGTGCAAGGGGAGTTAAAAATAAACCATACGTTTGAATCGCGGTAATGCTAAACGACTCGTCTGGTATGTAAATCTGGATCTCGAATTGAAATTGGAAGCGCGATTTTAAATGGGCCGGCCCTTTGCCATACTCCATTCTTCTTTCCCCAAGATATCGAGCAACCAGACGGTAGGTGTATGAATAGCAATGAGGGAGAAAGGAGAGTGAGAAAGGAGAAGGAGTGCCGTTCGAACACGAAATTTATTTAAACGCTCCAACTACTCCTCCGCAATCGAATTAAATTACTTCTTGTTGTTGCAAACGATCGAATCTTCGACATGAAGTATTCCAGACTTGCCCAATCGTATCTATCGATCATTCGATTACGTCTCTATCTTTGTGCAAATTGCAAATTAATTAGAAAGAAATATTTGGTTAATCGATATTCACGGTCTTCATATGATTATCGCGGTTTAATAATCATCCGTTATCCAAATCATAGATAACAATTTATGTTATTATCTAAATGCTAAATTTAGTAACTATTAATGATTATATCGAACAAACGAGAGACGATTATCGTTGAAACTGAATAATTTCAATATGAATTACAGACTTGAATATCATATTTTAAATTCTCTATATCTCTTCTATATATATTCCATCAATAATTTGAAATTATAAGGTAATCGTTAATAAATCAGAGATTTATAAATAGGTTCAAAATTTATAACTTTAATAAATTGAATCAATTTCCATCTTTGATTTCTATTATTTTACATTGATTATGATTGATTTGTTTTACATATTGTAGCACACATGCACATACTGAAATATATATATTTACACAATATTTTTAATTGCATTATCTATAATTACTTATTTGTTCATCTCCTATTTTTATCCTATTTTTATCCTAATTTTATCTCCTATTTTTATCCTAATTTTTATAGTTGATAATGGGTGTAATAATTTTCTCGCATATAAAATATTAATAAAAGATAATAAAATATTTTTTTTATAATATCATATATAATAATTGAAAAGAATTAATATACAAAGGGAGCTTTATGTCTGAAATAATTAAAGAAAATCTGTGGTCAATCTCGTTTATTAATTATCTATAATTATCTATAATTAATTTTCTATAATTATTATCTATAATATTATTATCTATAATTAATTAATATAAAAATTTGAAATATCTAAATTATCATAATATATGATCACTTGTTTTTAAGCACCATATTTCTTTTTTCACAATTTTGTTCATTACTTTAAAAATCAAACTGTCTTTTTAATAAAAAAGAAATCTGATTCCGACGAGATCGTCGCTCGATTGTTAATCTTGAGCACACAACATTCCGAAGGTGCAATATTTCTAGTAACGTGCGATGTTTCAATACTGCCATACACAGCTCTGATACCTGACATCTACCCGAATTTAACGGCCACGATATTTCAGAGATATTTTTACTATGATGTGTGTAAAAGTACGAAAATTTTCAAAATATGAGGCACTAAACTCTTTCTATAACTGTCATATCTCTCTCCAAATATCACCAAGCTTCCAGCTATCTTGGTTATCGCTGGGATCTATTGCATCTCACGTTACTCATCCGAGGTTAATAAAAAGAAGCACACCGACGCAGCGGAGCACGAGACACTCAGAATCGAAGACGTCTCGAGACGTTCGATCGTTACCTCGAAGGGGTTCGTTGAGGGAGGCGAGGGGAGAGACGGGGGTCCTCCTTGCCGGTCCGGTACACGAAAGGAAGACGTTCGTCCTCTCCTCCCTCCCTCCCTCCCTTCCCACGATAGAGGGTGGCCCGAGGAATCGCGCGCGAGGAGATCGATCCTCGAAATCCCGGAACGCACGAGAGAAACGTCTGCACGAGAAAGCGCACCCCGGCACACCCCCCATGAGGACGCACTCCGCCCGGGGAGGATTCGCGTTCCGAGACCAATATCCTTGCCACCGTCCTTGGAGGTTATCCCCGAGAGTGTCTCTCGTCTCATCCGTCTTTGCGATCTTGCACTACACATATATATATATATATATATATATATATATATATATATATTTCTATCGTGTTTATATACGTCATGAATATTTCGTCGTGCCGCGCGATCACTCGCGCTCCATCGACAAACGCGAGATAAATCGACGAGACGGGGAAAACCCTATCGAGACGAAGCGGCGTCGTGGGAATATCGCTGCATAATATTCGCGATTGTGCGACTCTTAGCCTAATCGGATTGCCTGTTTTAATATTAATGGTCGCATTATATCGAGCATAACGATATATCTTTGGAGATGTTATCATATTGATCTATTCCCTTCTGTAGTCTTGATGAATAATCGACGCAAGGTGTATTGTTATATTTTGATGATTATTGTTACATCGCGTTTATATTCAATCTTCCAAGTTTTCACGTTCTTATAAAAAAAAAATCCAAACTTTTCCAATTTACCTCGTGCTTCAATTCAGTGACTTATCAATTCTTTTGTACTGGATCTACCGCGATAAAATGATTGACAGGACTCAATCGACACTCGCGCAATTTTCCTTTGTTGTCATAAATCCACTACGACGAATCTCGACGTCACGATCGGTCAAGATTGCTCGTATCGTGAAATATGAATCGCGTATACTTGACGGATGAAGCGCGAGCTCGAAGTGGAGGCGATAAGCCTCCCGGATGATCCTACGGAGAGCAGGAAATCGTGCACCGCATGTCGTACTTCTGCATGCTGAGAATCCGCACTGGAGAATCGATGAATCGGCACCCGCATGTCCGTAACTTACAGCTTGTTTTCTATCTAAAGTGTGTAGCCTGTTAGTGTGTGTAGTGCCTACTACGACTCTATCTACTCTCTGTACTCGACTCACTATACTCTCCCCTTCGTTTCCCATCGTCAAACGATTTATTACGGAAGACACCAGATCGATATCAGGGTTTATTCGACGGCAAATGAATCGCGTCAACGATTAAAATAAGTTTGACTATTTTGATACTTAATAAAAATAAATTTGTCTAAAGCATTTAATGTCGTTTCTCTATATTCTAGTAGAAATATCCAATAGGTAAGTATAGCGAAGTATCTTGTAAAGTTTTTTGCTTTAACATAATATGTTTTGTTTGAAAAATGAATAATCAAGGAATTGGACGAGTTGAATTCTGGTGGTACATTTAATCCTTATAAAGATATATAATTTAATAAATAAATTCAATAAAATAATTATATCTATTTAATTATATCTATTTTTTCTTTTCTTAATTATAAAAGTATAGCGAAGCATCTTGTAAAGTTGTTTGCTTTAACATAATATGTTTTGTTTGAAAAATGAATAATCAAGAAATTAATTGGACGAGTTGAATTCTGATGATACATTTAATCCTTATAAAGATATATAATTCAATAAATAAATTCAATAAATAAATTATATTTATTTAATTATATCTATTTTTTCTTTCCTTAATTATAAATTTACCAAACTCGCAATAAAAGGATTTCGAAATAAAAAAAACATGCAAGGAAAGAAAAATATAATGTATAATTAAGCACGGGAGAGGAGGAATTACGGTACGCACGGTGGGAATAATTTATTCGGATCTCCGTTTCGTTTGCGAACGATCGACGTGGAACAGAAGGTTAACGCTCTTGGTCGGCTGCCTCGTGACGATCCCTCGGGAATCCCAAAATCTCTTAAGAACGAAATCACGCTTGGCGAGCCCCGCGTCACACCGGGATAATTTCTCGCGTGCAGTAACGTTCAATGCGAGGATCCCTCGGTCCTGAGTGGAGTTTCAGGTTTCGGTGGAATTCCCGAAGGAGCCCGAACGGTCTCTCAAGAGGAGACGCCGGGTCGTCTGTCGATTTCGATTATCGGCTGGTTCGTTTAACTTCGTATTCTTGCCGGCTTCTTATTTTGCGCCCGACAAACGAGAAAATGCTAACGTCGTCGCGAGGTTTACGGTGATATTTACAGCTCGTTAATAATGCTCCAAATAATTCACACAATTTGGTTAATTGTTAGCAAGCAATAGTTTAAGAAAGTTGATTGAAACACTTAAGCTTCGTTAAAATAAGGTTCATTGATCGAATCGATTTGAAACATTATAAGCATGTGGAAAGTGTAAAATTGCGAAAGAACCGAATTATGTAATTGACATTAAAAGGATTGAACTCGAGGATCGCTTTTGAAGGTTCAACTTGGATTGGTTTCGATTGAATCTCGAATTGGTTTAAATGGCACTTACCATTTCCTCTCAAACACCATTTCATGATTTTCCGAGTGTATTTGCGTTTGTTACTGCTTTCGCAAAAGCAATTGGATCAAATTAGTTTCATGTCAATTGAAAGCTTAAGAATTAAAAGCGAATTGCGATAAAGGTAGATTTTTTAATTAATGGAAAAGAGATCTTTCGCGTTGTTATTTGTCCGAGTATATCTTCTATGCTTAATATACATTTTAAAAGCGATTTGTAATAATATATTATTGGTTGTTTTTTTTTTCTACAAAACTGGATCCAATTTTCACAAGTAGTTTGAGATATAATAAATTAATCAAATTTTATTTTTATACAATTTGCTTTTATTTAATAAATCCAATAACTGAAATTTTTTTATTGCGAGTATATCCAGAACCGCTTTTTTGTTACTAATGTGTTATTTCAATTATCAACGCACTTGGAATGATTAAAAATCCAGATATATTAAAAGTGCACTATGACAAAGTGGGATTTTTAACCGACTATTAAAAAAATCTGATAATAGCAATTTTATCTATTCATTTGCAAACGTTAATTTACCTATTCATTTATGAACGTTTTAATTTCTTTTATTACAATTTTTCTTAATACATCCACGTATTTGATATTTCAAAAACAATTGGATATCACGGTCTGCAACGAAGCATTGTTCGTTGATTATCTTATATGCAACGTGGTACAAATTGCCCGGTTTACTTTCGCATGTATATTTCCTTTCTATAATTATAGTTCTGCATACAATAATGCTTCTTTCAGTATAATTTACCTCATATACTTAACATTTTGACATATTCATTTTCCTTAATTCTCAAATATGGAACAACAGAATGACAGTATTATCATATTTCCCATCTCTCATAATTTCTTTCATCGGTTTTTTCATAACAAAAATATTTAAACAAACAAGTATTTAAAGAAAGCAATTCTATAAAAACATTTTCACGATTTAATATTCGATGACAAGAATTCGAAATTTATGCGAAAAATTAACATTTGATAAAATATCTTCTAAAATCGATACCAAAAGTATTAATATCCTTTAAATTAAATATCAAAGAATAAGTAAAATTAAATGCTATTTAAAAGGGCAATATATATAATCTAGATTTATATTTAAAAAAAGACAATTGATTTAAATATGTTTTCATTAAATATCTCATAATAGTTTATCGTTATCATTATAACATTATTCCTTTCCTATTTACTTTATATCTTTTCTGTTACCTTCTAAAAAAGTTCCGGATACCAATAAAATTTCCAAGGACGATTTCCAACACAAATGTATAGATGCATTTAGTAACTGAAATGTGTTTCATTAATTTTTGATACGTAATGTTACATTCATAATTTCGTTTTCGGAGCATTCATGATCTTTAGGTCGCGACAGATACATAAGCTAGGGACCTCCCCTTCGCGGCGAGATCCTTCATCAGTGTCCGTTATGCCGATGCACCATAATTACCATTATCACTACCACCACCACCACCATCACTGTCACCATCACTATCGTCACGACACTTAACCCTACAACAACAGCACGCAGACCCCGCACGTTGCGTTACCGATGGCGAACGCGCACCCTCACTCACTCCGTTCTCGTCCGCGGCTCTGCTTCTGTGTTACAGAGGTCCTGCCCTCCTCCACCTCCGTAGACCTGTCGGGCACGGATTCGGCCCTGTACCCGTTCGACCCGCAGCAGGAGAACTACCAGGAGATCTGGTTGCCACCGACCAGTATGTACCCCCATTTTCTGTTCCCCTGGACCGCGCGCACCCCATCGTACTACGATCCTGACAGCACGTACGATTTACGGGAGTCCGGCGATCGACGCCAAGACCATCACCGTCACGGCAATCGGCATCATCACGGCTACCAGGAGGCGCCGGAGCGACCCGCCAAGCCAGCCGTCCTCGTCGTCGAGACGTACGATCCTCGGATCGATTTGCACCGGTACAAGACCGACGTGAATCGGTACGAGGATCGCGCGGCGACCTCGCGTCCTCCAGGCGCTGATCATCCGGATCGATCGATAGATGGATCTTCTTCCTCCTTCTCCTCCTCTTCTTCTTCTTCTTCTTCTTCCTCTTCTTCTTCTTCTTCTTCTTCTTCGTTGTCCAAGCATGATCGCGCCTCCAGCACAGTGCACCTGCAGCCCCAAAGCGAGCATGACGCGCACCTGCACCAGCATCGGCACCAACACCACCATCACCAGCACCACCACCATCGTGAGCACCCTGCACTATCTGCACCGCCGTCCGTCGTCGCGACGCTGTCGTCGTCGTCGGCGGGCTCGTATGCGTCGGCGGCCGCTCGTCCCACGCCTACCGTGCTGGACGAGCCGTTAGGGGCACGCGGGCCCGGCCAGGCCGAGCCACCCCGGCTGCCGGTCCCGAGGAAGTTCGCGCCCAGGCCTACCTACGAGCACCGCGCGATCGTCGACGACGACGATCTCGATGACGAGATCAAGCCAGGCGCGCTGCCCGTCGACCGGCTCTTCGATTCCTTCCAAGTCTTCGAAGGGTTCGTCGACCAAGGTTCGTACTGAGCCCAACGAGGCGCTCGAAGGATCTTACTTTGAAGGAAGCTGTCCAGAGATAAGTTTAGGATACTCTGGGAGAAGATGTCAAGCCGCGCGAGCACTGCGATAGGCATATAATCGTGTTTTCTCTTGAATCATACTTTGACAGCAGCAGATTCGAAAAATTAGAAATGGAGAAAAATAATCTGACGGCCTGAAAAATTTTTAAGTAGAGTCGGAAATGTGATCGATCGAGATAAAAAATCTGTTAAGTTTAATTATTAATTGCGATGATTAATCAAATAACGAAGTGAAATTTTTTAGAATTTGATTCAAGATAGAATTTCAAGATAGCCATTTGCCTGCCAATGTTCGCTTCAATAATTTATTAACGGTAAAAGGAACTGAATTATTAATTATATAAATAAATATATAAAATAGGTAGATTATGAATAAAAATATATTCCTATCTTATAGCATTGCAATAATAGCAGAAAGAATTAATGTGAGAGACTTCCTGAGCAAAGAGAAATAGCAATGATTAAAAATTTAAGTTTCTAATTCTAATTATTATATTCTTTTATAATTCTTAGGTTGGAATTATTCTGATTCTTTAAAGATAATTTTTTAATTTATTAGTTATATTGTTTCAAAAATATTAGAATTTATAATAAGTATTTTATTTCATTTTAACGTAGTAATGAATTCTAATTATTAATTATAATAATATTAATAAAAATCAATATCAAATTTGAAAAAGTAGTAAAATCTAATATATTTTTTATACAAATATTACAAAAATGAAAAAATAAACGTTAGTGTATTATATAAAATAATATGTAAAATAATATTTTTATTAAAAATATAGAGATTATATTTCAGTCGTATATTGTTTTCTTGTTGTTATTATAGAAAACAAATTTCGATCATTAGAGAAACGTTCATCTTAAGTCTACTTTAATAATCTTAATTGTCTTAAAACTTCTTTTCTTATTTATTAACGAAAAAACAAAGAATATATTTTGTTGCAGATGGAAGGGCAATAACTTCTTTGCTTATTTCTTTATTTTAGCAAGAAAAAAATTTCATTTAATGCACCTGAGTGCACTTAAGACGGGTCAGAAGGTCGTGATTAATCATTTGCCTCGTTCTCGCATTCTGATGCGACTGCAGCAGCCGGGGAAAAAAAAGCTTTCAATTTCGTCGCATTAATTTCTCAGACTCGTCGCGTTGCGCTACGGCATTCACAGCAAATTTCGCGCATAAATATTTTCGTAGATTTATTCAAAAAAGACTTTTGCAATTTCGCAATGACCTCCGCGTGCAATTCCACTCGCGAGTGTAGCTATAATTTCAAATGGGCGATTTCCTTATGATTTTCAAAATTGCGCGCGATCGCGATTTTTCTTCCGTTTCCTCTTTATAAGGGAGATGGATGAAAGATCCTGTTAAAAGACGTTCTCTTTCGCGTGGATTTATTGCGAAGATTGCATTCTCTCTCTGTGCGCAACTTGTTACGCTCGGTCGTTTACAGTGAAGGTCATCGCCCATCCCGACAATTCCACCAGCTTCGAAGTGATCGAGTCGCAATTGGAAAATCCACTGATCGACACTAAGAATCAGGAGCTACTCAACATGAAGCAAATCCCTATCCCAGTAGGCCATCATCATCGCATTCATCACAAGAGAAACTTAACGGATGAAGTCGTGATCGAACGTGAGTTTTCCTGTCATCGCAAGTGTAATCCTGTTCTTAACATGTTAAATAGATTAAAAAATATGTCAAGTAGATTATTTTTTAATCGAAAATGTGATCGTGTGCGATTAAAAATGAATATTACATTTTATGCAAAGTAAATTGTGATTAAATATAAAATTAAAATAGAATATCATGGTCTTAAAAATATATATTATTGATTATATATTCTTTTTATTATTATGTACAAAAAGAAGATACACAAGAATTATTTTAACTTTAAAATTGCTTATAATATTATATTCATTATATTAAATAATTTAAAAAATTTATAATAATTCATAATAATACTTTATAATTTCTAAAATTGAATTGTCTCGCTCATCGTTGCCATGAGCTATCTTATACGAAATGATGCATGAAAACGGAACTGTCACCGACCGCTTTCTTCGATATTCTAGCACAAATTGCGCGTAATCAACACAAGTAACAACGCACTCGATGCGGGATCATAAATTTTTTCAAGATGATCATTCATACTTGTAACGGTGGGTTAAAAATGTTAAAAATGTCGCAACATCACTGCTACACGTCATGGAAAATTCCATTTGTTTTAATGTGCCGCGCAAATTCATACCTTCCTGCAAACTGCCTGCGACAGCGCACCGTTGACGGATAAGTGAGTTTTGTGCGAGGAAAACCTAGAGAAAATGGATATATGAGATCATTTTTATGTATATGACTTTCATCGTAGACTGAGATGCGGTAATTGTCATTAAGTTTCGGTGGCAGTAAATCATCTTATATAAAAACGTACTACAAATGCTTCATTTCTCATCTTGGATAAGGTATGGAGATGAAATATAGAAAATATTTTGTACTCTTATTTTAAAAAAATGAAGATAAAAATTGATTATTATACGCGAGATATGAATGTAACGCGGTAAACATTTTTTATTTAAATTTGTTTACATATCGCAAATACAGAAAGCAAGATAAATAAAAAGGGAGAAGAAGCTTTAGTATTACAATAGTATTTTGAAAATTTATAACAATAAACTCGCTGAAAATATTAATTATATCGCGCATTGAGTAAATCTACGCGCATCCGAAATATTTTTTCGTGTTCTGACAGAAAAAAAACATATCCGTTTCAATATCGAATAGTGATAATCAATTACAATAAAAATGCTCCCCAGTGAGCTGATTCAATGCACCAAAAAATAAAATTCATTAGTTTTCGTGCAAAAAATATATTTCCACGTGCAAGTTTATTACAAGCCGAATAAATAAATTGCTTCACTTGGTATGTATATCGATATATTGCACAAACTGATTTTTTGAACTTTTACTTCTGCACACAATATTTTATTTATTTTATTTAAAATTTTTCTATTTTATTTATGAAGTTATATATGTTGTATAAATAGTTTTATTTATTTTATTATACAATTTATGCATAAAATTAAAATTACGTAGGATGCAATATATTCTAAAGAAGTTTATATAGCAAAAAAAATATAAATTATATTACTTTTGCAATTAAAAAGAAGACAAGATTATATAATAGCAAAAGAGAGAGAGAGAAAGTGAAATATGAATTATATCGCAGTTTTTTACAAACTTTATAAATAGAAGAAATTTCAGGAAATGTACATATATATACAAAAGGGCAAAAGAAATATATATATATATATATCAGTAATTATTAATTCGCGAGATAATCAAGATAAATGATAGAACGGACAAATAATAGGAATTAATCTTCAGATTACTTCGACGATCGCGATCTTTCGTCGACGCGATGAAAGAGCGCACGATCGATTGCATCTCCGACGTAATATCTCGCAAAGATATCACCTCAACGAGTAAGATTTATCGCGGCGAAAGTTTAATTTAATTTCGACTCTCTCTCCAGTTGCTCTCATTTCCTGCCGCTCCTCCTATCTCTCTTGCGCGTCCGCATATTATTTCTCGAGCCGCCGGATTTCGAACTTTAATTCGCCATCGTACCCAAGATTTGCTCAAGTTTTCGTCGTGTTCGATATTATATTATACGATATACGGTTTTTTACATACATGGATCACTATTTCTCAGATTCGAGAGAAACACGCCTGCGAGAGCAAGTGCTCACTCACTTCATCTCTCAACTTTGTTATTGATTAAGAGAAATAGTGCTCGTCAAGAGATTAATTCTCTCTCTGTTTATATTTTCTCTCTTTTGTCTATATTTGCAAGTTTTCTTTATATTTATTTATATTATTTGTATAATATAATAATTGCCTTTTCAATTTTAAAGTAATTCATGTAAAAAAAAATTCTGAAAAATAAATCTGCGAATTTCGCAAAAATATCTTGACCTCTTATTAAGTTTTTGCTAAATTTTCCTCAAAAGATTGAATCTATTTTTTCAACTAATTTCTTTTGTCGAAGGAAATATCAAATAAAGAATTTTTATTTGCAATGTTATAAGGGGATTTTTATTCCAATCTCTTTAATTAAATTCTTTTACATGCAACTGATATATTTCAGAATTAAATTTTAAAAATTTGCTCACAAAACATTATAACATTTGGAATACTGGCAATATTTTGACAGTAGATATCGTGTTTTCGTATATCGGCATTCAATCATTATAAATATAATGTTTATTTATTTAATCTTATCGATAACAATTCGTGCTAACATCACGTGCCCATTTATACATTTTCATATTCAAAGAAATAACGAACGAAAAAGAGAAAAAAAAAGAAAAATATGAAAAGAAAAATGAAAAAAACATGCGTATATGTGTATCTGAACTAATTCATTGGAATTCTGTTGCAATAATTAATACCACGCAAAAAATAACTAGTGATTCAAATCATGTTTCATAATCGCACGTTATGCACATTTTTATCGTCAATTAACAGATTTAATCAGTTTTTTAAAAATGATTTAACGTTGCGATATGATACCCATCATCTATATACATTTTTGGCATCCGAAGTTAATAAAGCAGAAGAAAATTAATTATAAAATCCATTTTAAAAAAGCATGTAAAATCAATTATTTGAAAACTGAAGTGTTACTTCTTTTCCTAAAATAATAAAAGCTGAAATATGTATACATTGTAATACGTAGCATGTGTTACTCTTTTTTCTATTCTAATGTTTCGTCAAAAAACAAAATAAATGATTCGATAAAAATATATTTGGAAGCCAAGAAAGTTTAATCATGATTATCTTGCATTTTAAAACTAGGATCTTTTTTAATTTTTTGTTTTGGTTATTTTTATTTTAAAATGACAAATGCAGTTTGTTGGAAATAACACAGATAAACTTTAATTAATAATCGAAGTTTATAGAATGGCAAAATTACGTTTATCTTCATTAATTAAAGTACGATAATATTAGACATTAATGTTGGAAAATTTTTTGTTTAATATCATATCATGAATAATAGTCGCGATTAGCTAGCGTTTTTGGCACCAGTGCGGATCTTGTTTCTCTATAATTATTGCTGTAACTAATTGCCTGCGCGGCCAATTAACGTCAAATATGGGAAATGCAATTGCGATCGGGTGCTCGCTCAGCATTTTGCGCACTTCTTTAAAGCGATTTTCTCTCAATTACAGCTGCGCTAATTACTCGGTTGACCGATCAATTACGAATATTTATTGCGGTTTCAAATATATAAATAATCGATATATATATATATATATATATATATATATATATATATATTCAAAATCGAGACTGTGATCTATGAGTAAGCTCTATAGTAAACTAACAATTAATGAATATGTTCGCTCGCTTCTTTATTAATTAACATTTGACAGATTGTGTATTTTCCGTCTTTATTTTATATATTAAAACAGTTATATATTCAACCGTTTTATTGTAAAAAACTGCCAAATTTATAATATTATTATATTATATAATTATGAAGCGAAAAAGTTCTTCCATCTTTATTTAATCTTTCTTGTTCCTCTTCACATTTAATTGTTTATTGTTTAGTATATATAATATATATAATATAATTAAATATAATAAAAAATTTTACACAATATTATTTAATTTACGTTATGTAATAAAATGTAACTAAACACGATGGATATCATCACGTTATAAACTTATAGCGATAAGTATTTTATTTAATTGTGTCTGATTTAATTTTTACATCAAATCTTTAATATTTAAGTCAAATGTGTAATAAAAGTTTTTTAAAGAACCGACATGGTTAAATCGCTAAAACATGAAGAATAACATTATCGAGGCAAATTTTATGCTCGACGAAATTTACTTCCGGAGTTAACTGGGTCGATTTCATTAGTTTAACGTTAAAATCCACAGTTACGAACAAGAATTAATGGCTTTGGATTTCTCGTACTGGTCTTGCGATGAGTGAGAAAATGAATTACACCATGAATCTTGATCTTCTTTAACAACCGCATTCAATCGTTAGTATCGCGCAATGTCGGGATATGCTTCTCGCCAGTTTAATGTCTGCGTTGAATATGCAATGCGACAGACAAATCATGTTGAGCGTTGACGTAGAACTTGCAATTTCGTTAACCGACAGTTTGCATTCCTGTCAACTTCGCGGTGCATCGCGACAAAAATCGCGGTCACGAGTTTGAAAGACATATTCACGATTCTGGTTATTTCTGAGTGTAATAAGTGAAATTTAATAGAAGTCACAGAAACATGAAGTCGAGCGTAAATTACAATTTGATTCAGAGATTTCAAACGTCTTGACAGCTCCTGTCACATTTCATCATTTCTATTTGATATGTCTGATTGCATCTCATGGATGTATTTTATAGAACTAGAATGCACGGGCGGATATGTTGACGTAAAAATTTGTCAAATTTTTTCGCTTCAAGATGACTAACATAGATTTATCAAACTAACAAAGATTAATAAAAATTATGTCCATTAGTTTGATTAGTTTATATTTTGAAAAATTGATAATGTACCAACTTACTACGATATTATTAGACGTTTTTCTTTATCAAATTTTTTGATAAAAATATTTTAAAGATAAAATTTTTGATACATTAATATAATTTGATATAACTTTATATAATTTACATTTTTTAATTAATTAATATTATTGTAGAGTGCCATAGATATTCGAAATAATATCGAGGATATCTTTTATTTAAGAAAAACACGATTTCTCTTGCTTAATAGACGTAAAGTGCACTTTAAATTTGCCATCGTTAGCCTAAGTGCTGAGCATAGGATGAGCACGTGTTTTACTCGTGACGTTTTAACCGGCTGCATCCTCCATGAGCAAATGATCTCGTTCGTTCGAGAGTCTAACGACTCGCCAAGCGAATTTCTGCATTCGTGCACCTGTGTCACCGAAGAGATCCTCACCTGATCGAGAAACCGCGATATATCTCGCGATGCGCAAAAGCGAGCTCGGCATCGATTTCGAGGACGTTGGTGCGACACGAGTTTCAATTACCGCCGCTCGGGATTGCTCTTGTTCTTCTTCCTGCAACGCGCCGAACGAATGGAACTTGTGTGATATCGAAATTCTATCGGAAATGCTTGATGCGTGTTCCGATTTACGTTCTGACAATCTTTGAAATACATTTCAATCTTGTCGGGCTTCGGTATCTGTGGTCTGATATATTTGACTTTTATTAAATCAATACGAATAATAAAAGAAAAAAAATATTTTTAACTTTTCTTTAAATTCTTGTTATTACGAAATATATCGGAATTGTTTAAAAATACTAAGAAAGATGCTGGTAAAGTAAAAAATAAATTTTAATAGCATGGGGGTAAATTTACATATTTAGCGTTCAACTACGCTAAGTTAATTAATAAAAAATTTTTTATTATTTAATTCTTTCTCTTTTTTTTAATTTAGTTACCAGTTCTCTACGCCTATTTTATATTGTATCTTTAAAAAATAAGAATGCCAGTTTTAAAAACAACATATTTCGCTTTATAATCTGTATATTAATTTGATAAATTCTAAAATATCTTTTTCTAAAAAGCTTTTACACTTGACTAATATTTTTATGCATCATACCATATATTGCAATTTTCTGTATATTATTTGACCGTTGCTTTTATTGAAACTTTAAACAGTAATCGATATTCCTGTACGTTGAAATAAATACACGTATACACGCAGCCTGCAAACAATTCAGGAGTGCGATTAAGGCCTCCGAAGGGTTGCCAGGGGTTTGGCGGCCGCTCGTTTGTCTTAATAAAGTGCGTCGTAGCCACGCTCGCCATGGTGGTTAACTTATGGCCAGTCATCTGATAGGGCGGTTCTTCTCATGGGGAATCCTAGACCCTTTTTTCCCCCTCCATAAAGGTAGCTCCGTTCTTTCTTCCTGATATTCACCGGTGCTTCTTTCCCGGGATCATTAACCCCGTCACCGGAGTCCATCAATCGAAGAGGGGATGTCGGTTAATGATGACAATCATTTGTTATCGGATGGAAACTTTTTTTCCTCCTCCCATGACAATTATGTTGGATTTGAATCTGTTAGGGAATTTGAAACTGGCAACAAATTTTCACGATGGTTCATCGTTATGTTTCCAATCGTGAGAATATTTCGCAGCGCGAAATATCGATTTTCCTTCTCTTGAAATTCATAGAGAAAAAATATTCATTTAAGAGGTCAGAATAATCTGGCTTGATTAATTTTTGATCAAATTTCATCAGAAATTTTGTGAATTTTAATAACATTACATTTAAATGATAATGAAAAATTAACTGTTCGTTTGGATTGGGATTCATAAATAATCCACGGAGTTTTCGAAAATAACGGAGAGCTATTCAACTCTCTTCTATAACACATCAATGTACTCGGTATGACGTTGATGATTTATCATTTATTCGTGTCCACCGGTGAGAAAAGTGGGTCTCCCCAGTGTAAACAGTGCATTATATATATATATATATATATATATATATATATATATATATATATATATAATAGATGGCGAGCTCAGGCTACCATGTTTAACTATGTCGATGCCGATCTCTTTCGAGGAAAAGTGTTGCGCCCGATGTTACGATCGATGATAGAAGCTCGCGTTTCAATTTGTGCTGGAAGAACCTTCATATCGTGCTCGTACAATAGTAGACGTATTCATGATAAACGATGCTTTTCACAATTTATCAAATGCGACCGCGCGCGCCTGAGATACAACTGCATAACATGGCGCTAATTGGAAAAGTTTCGTAGGTTATAATGAAAATTTTACTTTGTTATTTTCGTAAATTGATCAATGTAAATTCAAGTGAGATATTTTGAAAACACGTATCTATGTGGCAACATATTCTCTATGAATCGAAATAAATCATGAAAATTTATCTCTTGTTTTTCTCTTTTTTTATAAACATTCCATTTTTTCTTAACTCGCAACGTAAAATTTGTTTTAGAGATCTTTATTTTTATAATTTATAATAGACCAATATATATATTGTAAAGAAATATTATGAGAGATATGATAATTGGATTTTAAATTGACTGCCTTCGCGAGCGCTTTTCATTCATAGAATGGGAAATATTGTTGAAATATTGTTTCATTCAAAGATGCACAATCCATGCAAAAGAATTAAAATCAAATTCCAGTTTATCCCAATTATTGACCTAGCACTTTTTGTTTAACACGTTGTTTTGTTTCATAGAAACATTCGACTTCGACAAAATTCAGCAGCCAGTTAAACTGATCCTGCCCAGCACGTGCCATCATGCTTATACATCTTGCAAGTAAGTTTTAAATTTAGTAATCGATTATCACCGATTACATCGAATAAGTCGCAAATAAAAATTCTTTTTCTTTGCGCAGAAACGATCCAGAATGCAAAAACCTGCTGCAACCTGTTTTGAACCATTGCGATTCGACGACGTGCGCGAGAAATGAGTGCATGGAAGCGCTGCAGCATTTCTACAAGACCGCCAATCACAAACATTCCGTGGAAATCGCTTTCTGTCTCTGCAGGTTAGTCCAATAGATACGGCAATCTCTCCTCTAACTCCATTGTTATCATTGTTTTCTATATTTATTATTTTATTGTAACTCCATAGCAGTTTGTACCACTTTACGCATTTCTTTCATATCTTTCTAAACAATCTTATCTGTCTTATTTTTTTTCATTATTTGATTACATTCTTTATTTGCAATCAATTCATTTGGAAAATATGAGGATCGCATGTTTTCAATATGAATAATATCTTCTAATAAAAAATATATCGACACGAAAAATTATACAGAGAAAAATATCATTCTACTGCCAAGAAAAGCAATTACTGAGTTTATTTTTCTTTTTTTAAGTAATAGTTTTCTTCAACAAAGAATATATCTTGATAATAATTTTAAAATATACTTGTCACAAGTGTTAGAAAATCTCATTATCATGCACTCAAAAGAAGAATTTATTTTCTCTTCAAGAATATTGTAAAGTTGTATTAAAGAAAAATCAAACTTACTTTACGTCAACTCTTGTAGTAAGCAAACCAAATTTTTGTTTTAATTTTCTGACTAAGATACTGCACTTACTAAAATTCAGAATATATTCAATTAAATTTAATGCTTGAGGAAACTTATGATATATTTGCGGATATACAAATTTATACTTAAAATCAATAATATTTATTTGAATACAGTATACATTTTTCTCTGTGTATGTTCGTAGGATAACCGCTTTCCGGTTTCTGTTTTCTATCGATGCTAAGAGTTTAATTGGACTTCTATTGTCGCGAGAAAGTCGCGTTAAATTATTAACGCATCGCGCTATGCGGACGACTGTCATGGCACAATGCGCAGTGCGATGTGAATTAATAACGGATTATTATTGTAATGCGAAAGCGACGCATCTGCGCGCGAATCAACGACAAATCAACTATCAGCGATCGTAAATTAATTGGGAATTAATCGAAGGACGCGCCCGCGTAGTTATTACACTCTGCGTTCTAATTACGCTGGACGCGTGTTTGCCCTGAAAAATTTTCCGAAATCTGGCGTATCGACCAATTGAACCCAGAGCTCTGGCTAGCTACGGGAAACAATGTGCGTGCCTCGCGATACACAATGCATCGGGCTGCATCCCGTTACAGGCTGCAACCGATCGACATGCCGAAAAAGAAAATGCGCAATGCGTTTAACTGACAGAAATGCCAGATCATGATCTCGATGCATAACTGACGCAACTCAGTGCATTATGCATTCTGTTGAGCTCGGATGAAGGTAATAATAAGCACAATGCGGAATTACAGGACTGAATAAATTAGAGCGAAAGAAATAAAGAACGCATGATTGCAGCGATCCATTGTTCCATGCATTATGAAAAGTTGGAATGACTATGTCGACGTAATGATAAGCCACAATTTCTTGTACGCCGCAATATTTCGTATAATTATGTATATTCAACATTTCTTTTTTTCTGAAAGAGAAAACTTTCTTCAATGTAATCGCAATGAAAAGATTAACAAGTTAAATGTGATTTTTATTATTGTCATTTTTTAAATAAGAATTTTCCATGTGTGTCGCATGGCGTAGCATTTTTAATGCGCTTGTAATAAAATTTTGTTACAAATTATTTTTAGAATATATAACTGATCTAAAGGGAGATTATTATTTAAACTTACAAAGAAAGAAACTTACACTTGGAAACTCACCCTACATATTAATTTACAGTAGTATATTGCATATAATAATAAATTAAAATTTTAGTACAAAACAGATTCGCGCGAGAAAATTAATGGAAAAACAATGCGATTCTTGTATATGATTACGAAATTATCTCATTAAGCATTAAATAATAATGTTCAATTCAATTTGCAGCACAAAATAATTGTTAATACAACTTAACCTTAGTGTAAGGTAATTGCAATTTCTTTTACAATAATATTTTATAAAATCTTAATGATTAATTTGAGAAAAAAATTACAGAAATCAAGTAAGTTTTCTTCGAGTTTTGATAGCTAATATCAAGTCTGTAATTATAAAATCTGAGAAAAAACGAAGAGAAAGCGATTTTGAGACGCCGCAATGATGACTTTGACGGATCTTTAGAACGGCTCTAACATTCTTTTTGCGTAGGAGGATCAGTTCTGAGAAGACTCGTTCTTTTTAACGAAGCTTCTTTAACTTTTAAGTGGCTTTTGGCCACGAAACAATGCGGAAACTTTCCGCTCTTGCCTTGCGTCTTATTTTTATCCGCCGCATCTTTGTGCCAGTCTCTTTCATCGAGTCCTTTTGTTCAAACGTCCGTCTTAAAATAAGAATCCAAAGACAAAACAGAAAACTGCAGGTGAATATATATATATATATATATATATATATATATATATATATATACGTTTACAATTCGCCAACAAACAATACGTGCCGCGTGAATTTCATTTTGTTAAGTAGTCCATAATTATTGCATTGTGATATTATTATCTTGCGAAAGATAAATTATTACTTATGCAAATATTAACTCTTAAATTATAATCTGATTAGTGAATTAATTATTTCAGTTTGATTATTTTTGTGTCATTGTACAATGCGATGTAGCAAAAATCAATCAAAAAATATTTCCAGCTAAACATTATATATAATCAAATCATTTTAAATTATATATTTTTCAATGTTTTATGATAACTTTAATACGCTTTAATATGCTGCATATTAATGATTTAATATGTTTTAATATGATGCATATTAATGATGAATTAATGGTACATAATTAAAAATTAGTTTTCAACTTCCACCAATTCTTGCAATTTAAAATAACCTTAAATAAATTTGAATTATTTCTTATTAAAAATCATCTTATAATATTGCAGTCACAATATAAACAGAGTATTTCTTCTAGTACGCTTTGAAAAATTTATATTATTTTAAATCTTATTATATTTCTCATGTTGCAGGAAAACGGATAGTAAAAAGGACGAGTGCATAGTGGCGCAAGAAAAAATGCATCCAATGTGTGCGCAGCGCATAGACGGCGCCGAAATGCCGACGTGTCACAGCCTGGCTGAAACTTGCAAAGAGAATAGAAGCTGCAGGTGAGTACATTACATTCATGTTTTAGGAAAAAACTGCGTGTTTTTCCATAAATTATACGTCACTACGAATTGTGCACGCGCAAAAGGAAAGTGAGAAAAAATCTAAAGAAAATAAATACCGGTTAAAACTAATGTATAATATACGTTCAGATTCTAGAGTTATAATAATTATTATATGAACAATATTCTAAAAAAAATATTATTCCAATCTCAAGACGGAATTTTTCGTTATAATTATAAAGAATTAAAAATTAAAAAGTTTTCAAAAAATTTTAATGAGATTTAGATTATCGCGATTTTCTCTTTTAACAGTTTTTTATCGGATTTAAAAGTTTTATCAAATACAAAGCGGTACGAAAATCTCCTATGGAATAAAATGATTTTTTTAGCCCTCAAGCGGCTTCGCTTAAAGCGACATTCATCATATAGATCGTCACATACTCGAATTACAGAAAATGAAAGATCGTTTTATCCTTCATTGTCGCAGTGGTCCTTCGACCAATGTCCTCCTGGCTAAGGAAATATTGCATTAGCGCGCGAATAAATCTTGTTGAATCGCGATTTAACTTTAAAATTGAAAAAGTTCCGACAGAACCGCGAGAAAAAATAAGGGACGACGTGTTTGCGATGTTTAATCGGGTGCTTCTCTGGTTTACTCAGCGAGATAAGATCGCGTCTCGTTCTAATTGGACATTATTATTTACGTGTCAATTTGGTTTCCGTTATATCGTACGAAGATATTCGCTCGTCGTGAAAAATCTCGCGGAAACTGCGAGGACAAGAAAGAAGAAACTTTATCTTTTTCTTTTATGCGTGGAAGAATAGTTCATTTTTTAAAGCGGCAGCTTTTTACGAAAGATACACTGTAATTTAACAACTTGGCTAAACATCTCGTGCAAAATGATTTAAGAATTCATTAGCTTTCGTAAAATAGTACATTAATATTAATCAAGAAATAACGATAGAATAGTAAGCGCATGTGATTAACATTCATAATCCAAAATAATATACGTTGACATTGCAGACTAGTTAAAAAAGTTTATCTTGAATTAGTAGAAACATTTATTGTAAGTTAAAATTGCAAAGTGTAAAGCACATACTTAATAGAATATAGAAATATATAAAATCCAAATAGAATTACAATATGTCAATTATTTTTAGTTAATTATAAACCTACCGTTTTCTATCTCTCTCTTTCTTGTTTTTTTATTATATATTATTTATAATTATTTATAATTAAAACTATATAGTTCAGAGAAAAAGAGAGAAGGAGATAACGAATCAGTTAGAATTAGTTAATTCAAACTGTTGCAACTCAGTTTTAGCAAGTTTCGAGAATGAGATGATGCATTATTCATATCTTGTCTAATTCTCGATCACTCAACTGCCTGAAACTGCATGTGATCTGAAATAATCTTATGAATGCAAATTTAATTTAATTTTTTAGTTTCATTAATTTTATGGAAACGAATATGTGAAATATAATATTAAAATTCTAAATTAACTAACTAAAATTCTCCATTAAAAATACAATGATTTTTTATCTTTTTTCGTATATTTTATTATTACGATTTAATATCACAGATATGATAAATAATCAATTCTTTTTTTGAGACTTAATGTTTATATATACAGAAATCAAAATTCTATATTTAATATCAATCATATTTTTTAAAAATTTCTTTTATTAAAAAAGATTATTAAAAGAGACATAGATATATCTACTATTTTTTCGATTTAAAAATGACTACAACAATATTTTATTTTTTAAAAATATGATACAATTCATTATACAATTCATTATACTTCTTATACAAATTATATTACATATCTATTAATAAATAAATGTTTTTTGACATTCTAATGAGTTGTATAATAAATATGTAATAAATATTTGGATATATTGTTGGATATATTGTTTTATACAATTGATTATTTTGCTATTTTATTCAGGATATATAAAACATAATTCAAAATTCAATAAATTAATTAATTAAGAATATTTCCGTTCAAATTCGTTACATCGTATTTTTGTAAAATATATGTGTACATATGAATAGTAATATACATGATATCTTACAATTCACAATTTCTACAATATTTTAGTGTATTCTAGAAATAATGGAGTAAAAAATCTGAATATGAAAATATCGGAACAACAAAGTTTTTGAGTTATAAATAATCAAAATTTTCCTATGATATTGCACAAAATTCGCTTAGGCTCGTTATTATACTTACACATATATCTGTCATTTATTATTAATTTTTATGAAACAGTAATCTGATTTTAATAAATAAGTTAACTTTTATAGATATTTTTCTCCAATCAAAACAAAAATAAAAATTTAAACTTTCTTAAATTATTATATAAATATAAATAAATAAATAATATATATATATATATATATATATATATTTAAATATAATTTATCAACTATTTTAATTGTTAACCATTAATATTAACCGACTTAATATTAAGTCATAGTACTCATAAAATACGATAAAATATAATATTATTTAAGGAAAAGAATTAAATATTTTACTCATTCATAACTTAATAAAAATTCATTATTAATATTAACTGTCACAGTGCTTCGTAGGAAATGATAAAATCAGCTGTGCACTAAAAAATTAATAAGATAGATAGATAGATAGATGAGAATGTACGTATATATAGTTACGGATTTGAGTGCGAACTCTACGTGCTATCATTAGCAAATTTTGATCGCTTATAATTTTAAAACTGCAGCCTTAAAATTTTTGTATTAAGAAATTTTCAACTTTATTTTAAAATATATTACTAAAGAATTATATGAAAATTTTGAGACATATAATCTATATAATTATGTACATATGTATGTGTGCATAAGTAGTAATATATAATAATAAAAATGCTTTTGCATTATATAAACACAAATTTTAATTTTTGTATGCATATTTCTAGGTATACAAAATTTTGATCAATTTTTGCTTAGCAAAAATGGTTTCAGTTCGTAAATATTAAATTTATTATATATTTCGTATGATTTTACCATTATCGCATATGTATATCGCAAGTTGGATATACTGTTATTTCAATCTTTATTAAATGGTAAAATATCAGACATAACAGCGAAAATTGAAACATTATATTGGAGAGCGAAACACTTCGCGCTAATGAATACGTTAAAAAAAAACAGCGGGTGTAACGGATTAAAATAATCGAAAGGAAGGCACAAATGCGCGCGATGAATCGTGTGTATGCGCTTCGCCAATCGATTAAATTAGCACACGCGTGCATACACGCACGCACGCACGGTTTGAATCGGCGTTTTAATTGATTTATCGCCGAGGGCGAACGAATCCATTTTTAATTTTGCCATTTAGAGATATCTATAGGTGACACGGAAACGAGCGATTGCTGCGTGCCATTCATGCACGCTTTGTGCCTCGTTGTATTCCCATGTTTCGAGGTGTCTCGATAGTTTTTATTTAATTGCTTTTTTTATAATGGTTGCTTGAATATATCATTTTCGCCATAATAGTTTTCTGTAATAATTAAATTCGGAAAATTCCTGTAGATAAATTATCATAATCATTAACATAATGCGCAGAATAGTTTGATTCAATAATCACTGGTTATCTTATTAATTATTAATTAAATTATTGAATTGTATTATATTGCATATAATGAAATTAAATAACATTTAATATAATTTACTTGAATTATACTAATTATATTACTGATTATCTTATTATATTAATTTTCATTATATTAATTACTAAAATAAAGTTATTTTTCTACATTCAACATGTAAAAAACATGTTTTAATAATCACTGTATTACAAATTATTATTATTAAATTAAAAATTAGATATTTTAATTGAAACGTTTCTATGGAAACAAAGTTCATGTTTTACTATGTACTCATTAACGATATCTACCTATGTATCAAGAGACACGTGCCCTGTCTCGCGTCCAGTCACGTGCAGCAAATAGCGAACGGTATATTTATATGCGGGTTGTCTAGTGTTGAAAGTACCTTAGATTATCGGATCCGAGTAACGCCTGAACAAATCGATCAATTGTTACATCAACTATGGTTTCTACGGTACTATAGGAACAATAGTCATCAAGAATATATACACCCAACGATTACCCATTATTCCAACATTAATTCCCTCTGTTAGTCGACATTAACAATATAACCAATAATTGTTAGAATATCACTTAATAATGATCAACGTCAGAGATACTTTTTCTAATTCAATTGTTCGTTCTAAATTTATTCGCCATAAAATCGGTGAATTTATTAATTAAATCAATTTTCCATTAGTAATTTAAATAAATATAGATATAATTGCAGATAATCATTATTAATAATCATTGGTGTTTTAAAAAAATACTTATAATTAATTAATAAATAAATAGCAACAAGCGTTTTGCATTAAAAAAATCATATTTGTAATAGAATAAATAAATCTATTTTGTGGCATTGATATTAATTTATTTTCTTTCTTGAGAATATATAGTAATTTTTTAAATATGAGTTCATCTTGTTTTACTAAACATAAACAATCAGCGTTGATTATAAATGACTCATAATAATTGATAATTAATTTTGCAATGTATTAAATAATAATTTTTTATTTATCTTTCAAAAAAGTAATCTTTGACACTTTTTCAAAACATCTTCAATTTTATTTTTGTTATAGGTCACTAATATAGTTTTATTGATCATAAATGGTTTTTAGTTTCGTTGATTACAATGATCAATAAAAAATTTCTAGGCTTAGGTTGGAGTATTACGAACAGAGCTGCGCAGTCGACAGCGTGACGAAAAAATGCGCCGGACCAACTTCGGAATGCAGAAAAGCGATGTTAGGTATCCTTGGCACCGATCTTCATACAAATTGTGCGTGTAAGGGTACTGAAATCAATCAGCTTTACGGTTGCCTAGGCTGGCAGCGACTTCTCTGGGTGAATCCTTGCGTAGGTAAGTGACAACTCTTAAACATTCTTACAATCTCGTTTACAGTAGCCATTTAAAAACATCAGAATTGATAATTTTACTATTATTTTGTACATAATAAGTATATAGGTAGAAAAGATTTGTTTAGCTTAAAATTTGTTTTAAATTATATCGATGAAATTAATAAAAATGTACTTTTATACTATATATATGTTACTTGTAATTTTTTTTTAAATTTTTATTGATGTTATTAATAATAATATTGACAGAAATAATCGATATTTCTCCATTTACTATAAAAGAATTATCATTTAAAATAGTGAAAATATTTGTAAAAAAGTGATATTATATTTTGGACAAGTTACTCGCAAAAATATTAATTTAAATCGATATATCGAGTTATCGGAAATAAATAAAAATAATCGGACGATATAGAAACGTTAATTAATACAGACTGACGATATGGTTTTAAAGTTTAATTTTATCTTTGTAAATGTTTTATCTCGCAGCATGATTTTATCAACGTGAAAAACCGCGTGACGATATCGGCATTCGATTCTTCATTAAAATAATATTCAATAAATAACGTGTGACAAGGGACATATCTCGCATTTATTTATTTCGTGGAAAAATATTTTCATGATTTACTATGAGAACAAATCGCTCAGTTATATAAATTTATTATAGTAATATCAAACTATATCCTCTCCTTTAAATTCGATGTTAATAAAATTTAAATTGAATAGATATAAATAATTTGTCTAATATTGAAGATCGAGGAGATACATTATAACTTATAAGCAAGAATTAATTAATAAAATGTTATCTTTCAACTTTACTTTCAATATTATCTTAATTTAAAATGAATTTAATTTGGCTTGTAATTTGCTCTTAAATATTCAATATTCAATATTGAAAAATTACAATAAAATCAATATGAAAATTATGTTAGAGAAATTATCTGTGCTAAATTTTTTTTCTATGTTATATATCATTATACAAACATTACAGCGCATAAATAGCACGTCACAGATAGAATTTCATGAAAAGCTGCCGATGCACTCGACACGATACATTTCTAGAACGCAGTGGGAGATGCTATTTCTTCGTATCTAAATGACTTATCTACCAACTGAATGCAGCCCATTGCATTCATTGTGCTTTACAACTCGTCGGGGTCAAGAAGGATCGATAAGGGCCAACCTGTGTCGTTTGTTCGACCGGTGTAATTGCAATTCTGCGTGCGGTATAACTGCATAGATTGTCGTAAATTGTTAGAGATCGTCGCATCACTGGATCTTGTCCGTTTGAAATTCTTGTGATTCTGATAATATCATATTGTATTTGGCTTATTCTATGTACGAGAAATTTTATACATATATGTATATTAATTTATAATTAATTATAAAGCATAATTAATTTTCCTATTAATATATTTTTACGCATTATTGTCTATTTTATACATTACTATTTTTACGCGACCTTTTTTAAAAAAAAAATTGGACCTCCACCGTTTCATGGCAAATTTGTAAATACTGATAAATATAATCTATTTCGCGAAAATAAAAGTTGCAAGTCGCAGCTACAGCTCGTAAAATATTATTACGCGCATCTTACGTTCCCTATTATTGCCGTACGCGTCCCACGAGAGGAGAGGCGCGGCGCGGTGCCCCTTGAAAGTGTAATCACCCTGGAGTCCCTTCCAGCACCTGAAATATTTCGCAGCAGCTGTGCCGCTGGCGATACGGGACCGCGCGACTTTTCCGATACTTTCATACTTCCGCGTCGGATGGCTACACGTGTACATTCAACTGCAATTTTACAGGCTCTCCGTTCGGCACTTTATATTGCTTAGCGGTTGTTATTTGCGGCCACACGTCCGTTTCCTGGCGAGCACGAGAGAAAGAGAAATGTATGAAAGAGAAAGTATTAAGCTCAAGTTAGTTCAAGGCGACGATGCCGATTTGAGTCGGCAGTTTTTCGCACTGATTATTGCATCGTAAAACGCCATGAAGAAAAAGAAGTTATGACAGAAAGAATTCCTCTCTTGTCAGTATAAATCATCATAAAAAATGCAGAGGAATAATTTTATATAAAAGTAATGAAACGAAATAATAAATACTATGATAAAATATTAGAAAGAATTTGAATTGAGAATCGTTTAGATGTTAAATTTTTGAATTAAGGGATTATTTAATAGATAATTCACAAGAATACACTCAATGTGGAAATCTCAAGTTATTTAATAATTCAATATTGAAAAATGTCATTTTTTTCATAGATTTTTATATAAAAATATATTCCAATAATATATAAAATCCAAAATTAAAGAAGTTATAATCTACTTCAATTTAATATGAATAAAAATACAATATATAAATGAAATATACAATCTTATACATTTTTTTCTTTAAAGTTGACATTTGAAAGCTATCCGTGTTATATCTCGTTTTTTCTACGATTTTCAGTCGGTTTCGTTTCTGTCGCATTATTTCAAGGATATCGTTGTTAATTGCAGTGGAATCGCAAAAGGACTATCACGCGCGTAGGAAACATCATCATTTGCGTACGACAACAGCGAAGACAACGACAACGACGATGACGACAGCCGTTGCGACAACAACGATGAGATCACCGGCGAGCATGACGGCGACTACCGTGGCCGAACAAGTAGAGGATAATCAAATACCGGAAGTGACGAAGTGGCCGACCACCGAACCTATAGAAACTTGGGAAATCACAACTACCACTACGAGCACCACCCCAAGTACTACTACGACCACTACGATGCCACCGCGTGAGTCTAAAGAGAGATTATTAATTTCCTTTACTAAAATAATTTCCTAATAATTATTAATTATTACGAATTGATCAAATTCTCTTACATTATGTTTTACTATTAAATTTCAATTACCAATTGCTTATCAAAATTTTGATGAATTTTGGGAATTATAGAAACATCCACTGAAAAAAATATGTATATATAACTTTTCCGAAAATTTAATTTAAAAATTTAATTTAAAACTATATGCATATATATATATATATATATATATATATATATATAATATCTATATATGAAAAATTTAATATAAATCACATGTAACAGTGATTTAATTTGAATTTTAAACAGTTACATATTTAATACAGAACAGTTACATATTTAATACTGAAGATTGAACTCATTGTAAAATCTTTCAAAATTTACCGCGGATGATGAGTTCTATTAATATTCTTAAAACATTTTTCTCTCATGCTAATTCTTCAATATTATTGATTAAATATATATCCTTGAAATTTTTAATTTTGAAACTCTTAGTTTTTATTCCAATTATTATATATATTTTATATATCCACATTTTTTTTAATTCAATCGTAACGTTGTCTTTTTTACAAATAAAACTTCGCGTACGGGAAATTAAAAAAAAAACTGAATTTTTAATTTCTTTCGACTGGCGCATCAAGAAGCAAATTAGATAGATTGCCTCCGGCGTAAGATGCGATGCAAAGAGAAGTTGATAAAAGGCTGGAGAAACAAACTGGCAGAAAAGACGGCTTCTCTCTCTCACTTAAGTTACTATATTCTTATAGGCTTCTGCGTGGTTCAAAGGCCGACACACAGCCACCAATACATAAGAGAAGGCAAGGGCAAGAGGGTAAGTCGCTAGTAATCTTGTAAATTTCTCGTGATCATCATTGGTGATGTAAACTCTTGCTCTCGAGGGCTGACATTTGCGAGACAGAAGAGAAACGAGGTTTTGTAGTCATTATGCGCTAGAGAGATTTTTACTATAACCGAGCGAATCAAACGCAATTTTTTCTTATACGTTGATATGTCATTATATCTCTTTGACCTTTTTCGTTAACGAAAATTTTTTAAATTCTATAAACAAGTCATAGATTTTTAATAGGATCAAAATTTTACGACGCGCACAAAATATGCATGATAATTTACTAATTTTTTCCAACATTTTCAGCAAACATTGTTTCAATATACTTTTATATATATATATATATATATATATATATATATATATTTACATACATGTAATATATATAAATATTTATAAATATACTTTGTAATCTCTATAAATATATATTAAGTTAAAAATTATTATCTCGTAAAGCAAATATAATTTATTGTTATAATTTAAAGAGATATGGATATTTCGATATATATGATTTAACTTCCTGATTTGACTTTAACATTATACATGCATACTGATGAGATCGCAATTTTCACGTAACACGCAAAAGTATTAAAATCATTATACTTTATTACGCTATATATCAAAACTAAATAACATAAAAATTATACATTTTTTTATATCTTTGACAGGCACTTTTTAAAAATGCGATAGTAGATAAACGTACAATAATAGATAAACGTATTAATTGTAATGTATCGCGCGCATTTATATAGCTGTATCGCGAGGATGAGCCCGAATGCTCGGAACTCTGTCACTGCAGCGAGGGTGAGCAACTTGTCTGCAACACCATCTGCGTCGATTCGTCACCTTGCAAGACGGATTTCGCTTTCTACAACCACGAAGCGCCGGCTTATCAAGCGCATCGAGGTCCTTGCCTTTGCTATAGCGGTGGTTTTATATGCATGCGGCCTTCGCCCGGTGAGCAATCATCTTTCTCATAATTAATACGGTTAAATGAATGTAGAATATTTGAGTGATGATTTTATTAGATTCTTCAGAAGACGCGAACATAGTTTTCAAGTAAAAATAAAAAAGTTTTAAAGTTCAAATAAAAAATAAAACAAAGCCAATATTTTAATTTGGCTAAATCTTGAGTCTGCATGAACTGTGTAAGATAAAATATAATAATTCCATTCATTTTATAATAAATAAGTAAATATATATATATATATATATATATATTTACTTATTTATGTAAGATAAAATATAATAATTCCATTCATTTTATAATAAATAAGTAAATATATATATATATATATATATATATATATATATATTTACTTATTTATTATAAAATGAATGGAATTATTATATTTTATCTTACACAGTTCATGCAGACTCAAGATTTAGCCAAATTAAAATATTGGCTTTGTTTTATTTTTTATTTATATAGTGGTCATTAAGTACTTTAATAATTAATATTATACGTACAATAAAAATTTCTCCTTTTTTTTCCTAAACTCGGCAAGATAAAATATAAAGATTTAGAATAATCCGATACGATTTCTCTTCTGCCATATAATACCGGCATTGTATTATTTTCGCAGACACCTACAATATACCGCACGGGGTTTTCATGTTCCTGGGGTACAGCGAGAAAGACGAGACCTTATTGAAGCAGCACAACAATGTAACCGTGCTGGACGCGGTATCATCTCTCGACAATTTCATGAGAGAGGAAGTCAATAATCAGGTGAGAAGCGTCGCTGTCATATCATCCTTACTGACCGTTAATTCTCGCTGGATGACATTTCAAAATTGTCACGCTTTTGAAAAGCATCGGATATCTCACGACTTAGTACAGAAATTTCGTCCAAATTCCGAAATCGGGATTATTTTGAAACAATCCGCCGACTATACGAATGCGACGACCTAGAAAAGAATCTAAAATCAGTCGATTATTCCGGGGTTTATTACATCCCGTGTTATTTGGCGTCGAGGAAAACGGGCTCGTAGAGGGGATTGCGGAAAATTCCCAGAATGCAATTAATGCGCAGCGTCTCTGATCGGAGCGCGAAATTCCGATAATGAGAAATGTCAATAAGAAATGTAATGGCTCGTCAAACTGCGCGTCGATTAAAAAGTAAATCGGGCAGCGCGGAATTTAATAAATTCCGCCGCGCGGTGCATCGCGACGGATGACGCGCCAATCTACCTAGCTACCTATCGAGGCCAATTCACGTCTTCCATTTACAGACAGTATGCACGCTCTTCTTGTACAATGCGACCCGAGAAAACGTGATTGCAGTAGCACGGCTCGGGACCGACAATCCACCCTTAAATAGCAGCCAGGCTCAGAACCTGCAGCACCTGCTACGTGTCAAGGTAAGTGAATCTCGGATGGACCTTTTCGCACTGCATGCGCGAAAATTGAAAGCTTTGGTGGAAGAAATGGATAAGCCCAGCGGGAGGCTTTTGAGAAACCGCGAGACAAACGCGCGAGGAACGTGCGTGTTATCAAGAGAGAAAAATAACACTTTATTATTATTTCACTTATATTATTTCTTCTACGTCTGAATAAACGAGAACTTTTTATCGTTACCTCTTTAGAATTCTGCCTCGAAACAATTTGAATTTAACACGATGTTCTTTTAGAAATTTGAAGCTTTATTTTTATTATTAAAAGCAGATGTAACTAGAATAAAGATTTGTATTTAAGCATTTCATTTGATTCATATATTTCCTTATAATTTACATAATAGTATACTATGTAAATTTTTAGTTTCTTATTTGTCACATGATTTAATATTTTGAATTTAACACACACATATAAATTACATATGCGGTAGAAATTGCTATTATTTTAAAAAGGTTTGCAGCAAAACATTGAAAATAGCAAGCATAATAACACGCAATCCAATTAGAATGCGTGAGAAAGACAGAAAAATGTGATATATAATAAAATAGTTTTTTTCTCTCAAAATTACTTTATTATTTTCTTTCTTTGACGTTTATGAAGAATTGTAATTAAAGCCAAAGTGACTTTTATTGTTCTTGAACAAGATTACGTCTGCAAAGGTAAGTTTATAGGATCTACAAAGATCCTGCAAGGGCCCTGGGCTCAAGAAAAGTTTTGCGTGAACGACGGCGATTCGATGCACGCGCGTGCGTGCAACCGAACAGGAAGTCGGTGCAAGGGGGTGATATATAACGCGTTCTCGCAAAAGTTTTAATTTCCTCAAGCAAATCTCGGCGTCGCTCGGGAGGGATTATCGCGATTAATCCGCTTGCCGAATTTCACCCTTTGCACGGCGATAGATCTTGAGCGAGCGCACAGATCGCCGATCGATCTCCCTTCAGGGGATTATTGCACGCGATAATGCAGCCTTACGCGTGTCCGGAACACATAATGCGCCCGCTTAAAATGCACGCAGGGTAATTAAAACTCTGTGATTCATGACCGGCTCACGTACACAATGTCGCGATTCAAGTATTTATAATGTCTGATTAAAGAATTTCAAATAATAGTTGATTAAAAATTAAACGGCTGATTGTAAAAAAAATATTAATCAATCAATTGAGTGATTGAAAATTATTATAACTTGGGAAAAGAGAAATTTTTTAGCAAATAAGAAATTTTCACCCATTGGGTATAAATGCGCAAAAAATTTTTGTGGATTTTTAAAATAATAATTTAAAATTATTAGATTAATAAAAATTTGTCATGAATAAATTTTTGTTTGAATAAATTTTTAATTAATAATAAGTCGTTATATATTTCAATTTCTTAAGTTTTAATTTATATTTAAAATAGCTTTTATGTCAAGTTTAATCTTTCGACATAATAATTTCCTACAGTAACTGTCCATAAAATAACAGACAAAGCAATTAGTGATGGTGATATTCATTCGCATGCTGAACATAATCATCAAAAGCAATAATGAATTCTCCTCTTCGATTAATGTTGCTTGTAATGAATATTCAACGTGAAAGGAATTTTTATAATCGCAAATTTTCGCCGTGACGAAAAATTTGCACGGAAAAAGGATGGATCGGTCAACGGAACAACACACGCCAATTTGAATCCAGAATATCTCCATCAAGTTGCAAATAGATCGTCGCTTGATCACAGATTGGAAATCGCCCCGGGAACCTGTACGACTGTGTAAAATGCGTGCAGAAAGCAACGCGCGCATTTAGTGACATACAGGGTGTCGAAGAGATGCATCACAATCGATACGAAACGACATTGACGGAAAATTATATACCATTTTTTAAAAGCTGCAACATTGATGAAAAAATTTCTCAACACCATCTCGTATGTTTAAAGCGAAACTATAATAATTTTAAATAAAGCGTAGCATTCTCTAAATTTTGCAGAAATAATTACAGATTATCCGATATACAAATCGATAAAATATATTATATTTCGAGTTGATATAATTTATAAATACATTTATATAATATTGATATACACGAAAATGATTAATATTAAATCTTATTTATATCCAAATGGAAATATATAAAAAATATAATGGAAATATATAAAAATATAATTCTAATATCAGATTATTTTTATCAATATTAAATAAATTTAATAATACATGTATAAATGACTAAAAGATTTAATTTAAATAATATTAAATAATACATTTTTAAAATTAAATGAAAGAAAAAAATTATATTTGTATTTTAGTGCGAATAATATCAATATTTTGTGGCTGATATAATTCGTTCATGGAATGTTCGTTGGATGGCTTTAAATAACGACCCAACGGAGAACGTCTGACAGAATTACGGGAATTCGTTTCTGCCGTTGCCTGCGGAAGAGATAGTAAGCTTCGATCCGAACGAAATGGGCGGCTGTACGATAGATATATAGATAAATAGATTGAGAATCGCGCTAAGCAACGATCACGAAAAAAAAGGCGAGTTTGAGGAATCGACTTGACTTATTGATCTCACGACACATGCCTGTTATTATTAATAGAAAATGAATAGAAAATTCTGTCTGTATTTTCTCTTTTTAATTCCGTCATAATATATTCAAAAAACTCTCTTTCGACCAAAGATAAATATATATAATTGTTATATGTTTTTAATTTTGCGCAAACGTACTTATTACTGTGCATTTATCTCTAAAATGCGAAGGATTAACAATTTATTAAAGAAAGATACCGAACTATTTTAATTTTGCGCAAATGTACTTATTACTGTGCATTTATCTCTAAAATGCGAAGGATTAACAATTTATTAAAGAAAGATACCGAACCATCATAGATCTATTCGCGCGAGGTGTATCTAAAAATTTTCAGATTCGCATAAGTTTCTCTGGCAGTCGGCTCGGGGTCCGTCCCCAACATCATCTCATTTCTCCTCTATCCTTAAACCCATGAGGCTCGTAACAGTGGCGGACTGCACCATGGAGAGGAGTACGAAAACTTGCATTCTCCCTCGGCGTGACTGCACGCAGCTACATACGTCATAAAACTTTGCTAATATAGCGAAGCACCGCGGTGTCGTCTTTGCGCCGGTGACTCGAAATCGCTCGTTTCTCCCTTGCCAGGTCGGCATTCGTCTTACTTTCCCTCATCTTTCACTTTTCACCCTCTTCCACATTTCCATTCTCCTTCTCTCCTTCTCTTTTCCCTTCTTTTTCTCTGTCTAATGTCGAATGGGATTCCGCAAAATTTTATAATTTAAATCATTATTTGAATCACTTAATCGTATAAGCCAGGTGCAATTGAATAATTTCTATCAAAGAGAAAATATTGATTGTCTTTAATTGGAATTCTGCTAAATACCTCTCGCCTGAATGATTATTTTTGTTCGCTTGATGTGAATATTTTAGTGATTCGATTGTAATTCCTTGATAATTTGATCTGATTTGATATCGTACTTTTAGAATCTGCCCATAGCTAATTATGCTTTTTCATTGAACTGGTTATTGCTACAAAATGCTTCGAAATATATTTTTGTATGTGCGTGCACGCGTATGTCTGTGTGTGTATGCGTGCATTTAATTTATAAATTGTCGTATAATTTTTTAGTAAAATAATTAAATCGATTAAATTAAGTTTTTAACTTACTTTTTACTAATCCTTCGAATTCTATCAAATATTTAAGACTGTTAAAAATGTATCCCAAATTTCTAAATTAAAAATATTATTGTGTTAATAAGTATTGTCAAAGAAATATACTATATATTATTGATGATTCAACCTGAATCATCAATAATATATAGTATATAGTGTATTTTTCTATGCGTTCAATTAGCACATTTTTTTTTATTAAAAGCATTGATTGATTATTGAAGAATTATTATATTTCTGTCTTTATTTTGGGAGACTCGATGAAAATCTTTATATTAAAAGATAAAGAACTAAAATATTACTTATTTTATATTGCTTAAAAATGCAAAAAATTACTTTGCACGCCAACACAAAGATAGATTTCGAAATCTCGTGAATATCGTAAGTGAAGTTAACGAATTATTCTCTTGGGTACCGAATGACACTACGATCTTTATTCAGTGCGACGCTTACTCTTGTGATGGCGCAGTTTAATCCCATCTTGCAGTAGTTCGAGAAACGGCGAAAAAGCCACAGTTTCCCCGACGTTCCGCGCCGTTTTTCAATTATGCATTCGCATATTTTACCGGAATGCCTTGTCGCATTCAGCGACGAACGCGACGACAGCTGCCGGACTGCATTTACGAGGTTAACAATAATTCAACGCCACCATCTTTACGGCGGTCGCTATACATTCGGTGTTCCTGTGATATCCACGAGTATGCTTGTTACTATTGTTTATTCCGATTTATGCAATAAGAATTTTAGATTCTTGAAATTGTCTAGAAGTCCGCGCGTTTTTGTGTTTTTCCACAAATTGCATTTTAATTAAATAGAAAATATTGATGTAAATATAATAATAATTAGATAGAAAATATTAATATATTAGAGAATTGTATACATATTTTAATGTATGTAATATTGCAAAAACATTGAATATTTTTTATTTGTTACAAATTTTGCAAAGTTTTTATTAAATTTATAAATAATTTCTCTTTCGCGGATCTTCTTAAAAAACTTTTTGTATTTTATCACACATACACCAAGAAACAATCTGCAAAAAAATCAAAATATAGCGAGTTCTATTTGTGGGTACCATTAAAACAGAGAATTGAGAATCTCTCTAGGAATAGAAATTTGATACATATTTGTAGAATCCCTAATAATTCTAGAGAGCTTCTATTTCGATGTTATAAAGGTATTTGACCTCTTCCCATTTTTTCACCACTTGCTTCAACCCTTCATATTGCCGCTAAGAGGGGAATCGCAGAAAAATTGATGCTCGTTAGAATCTGAGCTTAAGTTGACGGGACA